TGGCAGCTGGTCGCAGGCATAGCAGATATTAACTGGGGCTCGTTCAGTTTTCCGTTTGCAAAAGGCTGCCACCCGCCTTGGGGAAAGCCCAACCAGCCTCTGCCCCGAGAGCAGAGAAATGGGATCAGTGGGTACCCATAGTGCCCCCGGGCACCAAGTTGGGAACCTCTGCTTTAAGGTGCCCCCAGAGTTTTGACTGCCTTCAGCCAAAGCGGCATCTGGAACCATCTCCTGAACGATTTCTGCACTCGCTCTGATTTCGTACTAAATTGCTGGGACTGTTTTTTTTTTGGGGGGGGGGTGATGGCTAAGCTGCCTAGAGCAGGTCGCAGCAGGATTTTTTTTTTTAAGTCAGTAAGGTCATCCTTACAACAACCCTGCAAGGGAAGCAGCTCAGTATGACTTGCCCCACCTGGTGGGGGTTTTCCAAAGCCATTCTAGGGAACTTGCGGTGTGTGTGGGGGGGCACATTCGAACAGAGTCCCCCAGTTTGCTAGCTCTGTCTCTGGGCGGACCTGCTCTGCTGCAAACCAGTCAAAACTGGCATGGCTTTGCTTAAAATATACTTGAATGGACACACAGTCACGGGGGGGGGGGGGGGGGTCTAAACTGAACTGTGAGCCTGAAAATCACCAAATGTTCTCATTCCAAACAGGGCTATTCAAGCTTTCAAAAGGCTGGGAAGGAATATTCAATTGTTTCCCAGCCCCGTCATTTCCAGCCAGAAATTGAATGGATTCTCTTTCCTCCTTCCCTTGGCTGTATTTCTGCAGGCCACCCCAGGGAAATACATTTCTCTGAAATACACTCATGTGTACGAGAACCATGCGACAGCTGAGCCTAAAAGATCTGCCATATGGATTCAGACCCACAGACAAACTCTCCTGAGGCTTCCCTGATGTGTGGGGCTCCTGCTATGCCCTCTCCAGCCCCCCTTTTCATTTTACTTATCTGATTTCTATATCTCCCATCTTTTGATTCCACAGTGGCTTAGATTAAAAATAATAATAATAATATAGGATTTATTTTACCTTCTTCCACCTGGCACAAGCCCCCAGACCAACTGTCCAATTTTGAGAGCCAGTTTGGTGCAGTGGTTAGAAGCGCGGACTCTAATCTGGGAGAAGCAGGTTTGATTCCCCACTCCTCCATGTGCAGCTGCTGGTGTGACCTTGGGTCACTTACAAGTTCTTTCAGAGCTGTTCTCTCAGCAGCAGTTCTCAAAAGAGCTCTCTCAGCCCCACCTACCTCACAGGATGTTTGTTGTGGGGAGGGGAAGGGAAAGGGGATTGTAAACCGCTCTGAGACTAAGAACATAAGAGAAGCCAATGCTGGATCAGGCCAATGGCCCATCCGGTCCAACACTCTGTCACACAGTGGCCAAAAATACCAGGTGCCATCAGGAGGTCCAGCACACTAGAAGCTCTCCCACTGTATAAATCCAATCTCCTCTTCAGCACATTCCCAACAATTTTTCAGTGTCGACTTCCGGTTTATGGCGGCATGCTGAGCAGACTCACCTCCCGGACCTCCCAGGGGTGAAGCTGCGCACCAGCAAAAAGGAGGAGGGGCGAGGCTTCGCTACCCCCCCGGAGCCTGGCTGAAAGGCTCCTAGCCAGGGGACTTCTGAGGTTGCTTCTTCGCCAGCGCGATGCTGGGGAATCAAGGCACTTCTCCGTCCTGACGGTCCTTCCGCTGAGTGTCCGAATGGAACAAGTGACGCTGACCGGGACAAGCGCTGGAGATCGAGCAGCTAAAACGGTGGCTAAGCGAGGTCGGATGACCGAATATGAACAGTGAGTCGGACTAGAGTGTATTCGCTAAGTTAAAAAGAAAGCTCCCCACCCCACGGACTAGAAAGCAAAGTGAGGGAGGGAGGGGCCCCTCCCATGCACATAAACTTAAAAGTGAGACCCGGGGGGGGGGGGAGCGGAAGTAAAAGCGGCAAAATCTGTTGGGAAAGACTTACCAAGGCGCATATGACCACATATTCAGAGACTTTAAAAATTTTGGTGAAAGTAAACAACCTATAAAGATGGTGGCGAAGAGGACGGAGAAAGAGAAATTTTTAAAAGTGAAAGTAGCTGAGAGCCCACGACTGGAAGGAACCACCGAGCTGGCTAAAACGTTGGCAGAGTCCCTGCGCCCCCTGCTGGACCAGATGACTAATCTCAAGGAACAGTTATCAACAATGAACCAATGTATCACTACTCAGCAGACGCAATTGAATGAGACTCTTAAAATTACAGAACAAACAGCTGAGAAAGTGAAAGAAGTTGACGCCACTGCTCAAAAGGTGAAGAAAAAGGTACAAAAATTGGAAAAGAAGCAAGTTTCAACAGAAGAACAGCTTTTACAATTACAAATGGAGAAGGCAAACTTGGTCCTTCGTTTCCAAGGTGCCCCAGAGACTAAGGGTGAGAATCTGAAGCAAATGATGAGAGAAGCATTGGCCCCAGTGACAGATTTGAAGGCAGAGTATCTCATGAGCGAAATGGATGTGGCCTACAGGTCCTATTCTGTATACATAAAGAAGAATAATCTGCCTGGGGAAATAGTAATGAGATTCTCGAAGAGGCATGTGAGGGATTCTATCCTGAGAGCAACGGCGGGGACACCCTTGAAAACTGGGGACAGTACCATCAGGATTCCGAAAGACATCCCATTTGAAATAAGACAAAGGAGAAAGAAATATAAAGATTTAATTCTTTTTCTTCAAACAAATGCAATTAGCTACCGGTGGTTATATCCAGAGGGCGTAACCTTCAAACTTCAGGATAAAAAAGAAAAGATTGACTCTGTTTCCAAAGTACAGGACTTTTTGAGAATCCAGTTGGGTGAGCCAGAGGAGGTGGATAAAAAGGAGAAGGACAGTAAGTCCAGTGACGAGCTGGACTCGGGGTCTTCTGGAGAGGACTCTCTTTCTGAGAAAGGGGTGGCGGTTCCTAAAAGTCCTTACAAACTGCAGAAAAGACAGGATAACAAAAAATGAAGGCTAAAGGACTCTGAATTGTGCCTTTGAAAATACTGTTGCTAATATTGAGATGCTTTGGGGTCTTTTTTCCAACAGCTAAATTTAAGATTTAAAAGTTACATTAGCATATCTGACTAAGTTCATAAAATTGTTAGCGTTTTAAGGGATGGCTTTGTGTATAAGCTAATTCGATTATCTCCTCTCTTGGGTTTTTAGTCAGTAGTGGTTATCTTTTCTTTCTCCTTAATTGTAGTTTCCCTCCCCTATTTTCATTGTAGTTTGTAGTCCTTATATAAAATGCAATAAAAAAATCTCCTTCGGGGGGCTAAAAACAAACACACACCAAAAAACAATTTTTCAGTGTCAGACTAAGCCTGTGGAGACCCCCCTCCCCCAAGACATTTAAAATCTCCACTCACTGGAGGACCTCAGCCAGTCTGTCTTTCTCTCTCCCTCAACCTAACCTACCTCAGGATTATAGTGAGGATGAAATGCAAGAGAACCCGGAGCTAGATAGAAGGGCAGGATGAAAATGCAATGGAGATCTAGAGACCTCGCAGACTATAGTAAATGCAGAGTGTTGGACTAGAATCTGGGACACCCAAGTTCGAGTCCCCACATGTCATGGGAACTCGCTGGGTGACCTTCGGCCAGTCACACTCTCTCAGCCTAACCTACCTCACAAGGTTTTTGTGAGGGTAAACTGGTGGAGAACACAATGATGTAAGCCACTTTGGGTCCCCATTAGGGGACAAAGTCTGGTTATAAATAAATAATAAAACACATTTCCCCCATATGGGAAGGACTATGGCTTGTCAGATGTGCTCGGCAGATCTCGGAAGCTAAGCAGGATCAGCCCTGACTAGTATTTGGATGGGAGACCTCCAAGGAATACTGGGGTCGTGACGCAGAGACAGGCAGTGGCAAACCACCTCTGAAACGTCTCTTGCCTTAAAAAACAAGTCTAGCTTGCCACCTAGTGGTGCATAAAGCTAAACAGATAGAACGTCTGGCTGCCAGACAGTCCTAGGATCTCCTGGCTGTACTACACACACTGCCATACAATAACTAATTAATTCAGGCTGGGATCCCAACTAACCTGGCAATTTCCATCAATTCCCCCTTGAACAGATAAACGGATGAAACTTCCATATACTGAATTGGACCCTTGGTCAATCAGGGTCAGAAATGGCTCCTCAGACTGGCAGTGGCTCTTCGGGGTCTCAGGTGCAGAGGTCTTCCGCTTCTCCGATTGCCTTTTAAGTGGAGATGGCTGGACACGGGACTTTCCCTTTGCGAGTGAAAGGAACTCACGGCAGCCATTCCGTGCCTGCCTCCACCTCCTGAAGCAGCCATTCTATGGCAGCCATTCTGTGACTGTGTCTACCACACTCTGTCAGAATTCCAAAGGTGCCCGCGGGTTCCGAAACGCTGGGACCCCCTGGTCCAGGTACAGTCAGCACCCCGGGAGGGGAGTGGCTGATGACGGCAGGCCTCCATGTATTAATAACAACCAAAACAGGAGATACACAGTTGAGAATCAAACCGAAACAAAAAACTGTGTGTGTAATATAAATGACGCAACAATTACTCATGAAACTTGTAACATTTATATCAAAGGAGTATAAATATAAAGAAACAGACAATTAGGGGAAGGCGTTTCAGCTGAAGCGCTACAGATATTTGACTTTGAACGGCTATGGAGTCAACGTGAGATTAAGGGCCTGTTCACACGGCGCTGGAATACTGGAAAACTGGAATATTTTGTTCCGGTTTTGCATGTCTACACCACCCCTCAAGAGCCATCCCTCTTACCGGCTGCTCGCTGTCCCCCTCGCCCTCGTCCCCATCCGGCGACGGCAGCAGCTGCTCCTGGGTGGCCGCGGGGCTGTCCTTGCCATCGGCCCAGTCGCCACCAGCCTGGCATGCCTTCTCCCGGCGCTTCTGGGCGGCCAGGAGGTCGAGGCCCAGCAGGAAGGTGCGCAGCGCGAGCCGCTCGTGCTGCTCGGGCGCCGTCTCCGCCACCTGCTTGCCACCCCCATCCAGGCTGCCGGAGCCCCCACCTCTCGTTCCTGCCTCCACCGGGATGCTGTAAGCACTGGCATTATTTTTTTTTAAAAAATTGACTTCTTAAGCGAATGCCTGCCCATGCGCTCAAACCGGAAGCTTAAAAAAAAAAAAACTTCAGAGAGTGGTCAGACGGCCCTATTCGCAATCATTGTGAAAGAGGGCTGTTCACATAAGTGAAATCGCGCGTTCAAAGCGCGAGATCCAGGAAAGTACTTGATTTTCCCGGGGTCAGGAAAACCTGTGAGTATTGCGTGAGTGAGCCTGCTTTGATGCGGGAGGCAGATTGGCGCATGTAAACAGAAACTTTAAATGCGGGAGGAAACAGCGGCGAATCCCGATCAAAGGGACAGTGTGATCGCACCCTTAGAGAGATTCTTTAATATGGGATTATAGGTTCTTCTTTTGATAAAGCACCAGCGATACGGGGGAACCCTGTAGCTAGGAAACGCGTGAAGCATTGATGGAACCTGCCTTCCATACTCAACACTGATGGGACCTGCTTTTTGTGAAGAACCTGAAGATCATTTTTGAACTTTTTCCTGTTTTGGAAACATTTGTGGAACTCCTATCATATAAACATCACTAATAAGTTCTTTCTTTGTGAATACTTGTAATTTTGTATGGAGATATTGTTTCATTAAGCATGTGGGTAGATATGAGCTTCTTTACAGTGAATGTTGACTGTTTCTTTATATTTATATTCCTTTGATAGAAATGTTATAGTTTCATGCGTAATTGTTGCATGATTTATATTACATACACAGGGTTTGGGGGGGGGTTTGGTGTGTTTGCTCCATGTATTAATGGCACCTTGGGCGCAGAAGCCTAAGCGTGTGTTGGCTTTTCCTGTGGGAGGATTGGCCCGTGCTACCTGTAGCCTGCATGGAGGACAGAGCCAGGATCCCGTTCCGCTTTCTGCACATTTTCCCGCCTAGGCTTTGATCATCTAAACAGAGCTAACAACAAAAGGGGGGAACCCCGCGGTTCAAACCAAACCAAATCATAAAAAGATACGTGCTCTACCACAAGAGCCAGTAAATCACCCAGGTCTCCCAACAAAACTGAACCGTCTGGGCCGTTTGGAAACGACATGACGGAACAAACATTACATTCTCCGAAACAGAAGCACACGCAGACAGAACAAGCACACGTACAGCCTGCCTCCCACGTTCTGTACATCAAAAGTCGCAACCCGCAACCCCCCAAGACGCTTCAAAGGTCTGGCCCTGACAACGGAGTAGGCATTGTGGTTTATATAAAGAGACACTGGCCCACCAGAACAATATGTGTGGACTTTGCTATTAGAACCAGACTGTTTTCATCCAAAAGGATTTTTCTCGTCATTCCCGCTGGCCTTCAGTAAAGTTCTGACTCTGCATTGCTCACCTCAAAAGCAAAAGGTAAGGAGGATTTTACCACAGTCAGAGCCAAACAGCAGAGGAAAGTATTTGAGGGTGTCTCTTTCCCCCCCACCCCATCCATCGCCTCTGCATTTGAACATTCACTGTGTTCGCAGCCGACTTCCAAGTTCTTTCCTGCAAACACCACACTTAGGAACTTTCAGAGGAACAAACAGCGACTTTGCATTTCTGTGATTCCCCCACGCTGCATAATTTTATGCACTGCAAAAAAAAAAACCTGAGTGCGCTTGGTAGCAGTATTCAAAGGAAATGCTTCCCAATCAGTCTTTCATTGTCAGCCAGAACAATGTTGCCTTAAAATAGGTTAGGATTGAGGGGGGCCCCGCTAGAAGCGCCTGCATTGCCCCCTTAAAAACTCTCTCTACCAACAGGAGCCTGAAGCAGATTTTGGAGAGGTGGGGGGGGGATAAAGCCTTAGAAATTTTTTTAAAAGTCTATTTTCTCATCATTCCGTTGCAGAACCGGTTTCATCAATAGATCACGCCATTCAAAATCTTTTGGTTGGCGGAAAAGGGGGCACTGATTAATAAGGCAGCATGTTCTTTTTTAAAAGTGATATGTTGGTTTTTATCCCTGTCCTGTGTGGCCCAGGCTAGCCAGATCTGGTCAGATCTCAGTCGCTAAGCGGGGTCGGCCCTGGTTACTGCTTGGATGGGAGACCGCCAAGGACGTCTAGGGTCGCTACGCAGAGGTGGGCAATGGCAAACTGCCTCTGAACGCCTCTTGCCTTGAAAATCCTACGGGGTTGCTATAAGTTGGCTGTGACTCGATAGCACTTTACACACATATATATTGAGTTGTGAGAACTGGCCCGTTGCTTTGTCTAGACATGCTGGAGACTGTAACTGGGACTTTACATACAAAACACGTGCTCTACCAGTGAGCCAGGGCTCCTTCCCTCCAGGAAGATGCCAGGTGCTGTCTTGGAAGAGGTATGCCTCTCTTCTTTCTTCTGACCAGCTGGGTCAGACCAGTGGTCCATCTAGTCCAGCATCCTGTCTCACATAGTAGCCAAGTAGTTACTATGAAGGGCCAACAACAGAGCACAGAGGCCGAGGCCTTCATAAGAACATCAGAAGAGCCCTGCTGGATGAGACCAGTGGTCCATCCAGTCCAGCCTCCCGTCTCACACAGTGGCCAACCAGTTCCTCCGGATGATCAGCAACAAGGCATAGAGGCTGAGGCCTTCCTAAGAACATCAGAAGAGGCCTGCTGGATCAGACCAGTGGTCCATGTAGTCCAGCATCCTGCCTCACACAGTGGCCTCAACCAGCTCCTCTGGAGGGCCAACAACAGGGCAGAGAGGCCGCGGCCTTCATAAGAACATCAGAAGAGCCCTGCTGGATCATTCCAGTGGTCCATCTAGTCCGGCCTCCCATCTCACACATGGACCAACCGTCTCCTCTGTGGGTTCGACAACAGGGCACAGAAGTTGAGGCTTTCATTGGAACATCCCGCTCCTGACCTTCAATGGGGCACCTCTGGTCCCAGCGTTGGAGTTCCTAGATGCCTCCTTCACAGTGGAGGCCCAGGTACCAGCCACTGCCAAGGCAGCCTTTTACCATCTTCGGCTGATTAGGCAGTTGGTTCCCTTCCTCGAACGCAATGGCTTGGCAACAGCGATCTATGCAGTGGTCACCTCGAGATTGGACTACTGTAATGCTCTCTACGTGGGGCTGCCCTTGTCTCAAATACGGAAGCTGAAGCTGGTGCAAAATGCCGCGGCCAGGCTGTTGATGGGACTCCCAATCCAGAAGCACATCCAGCCTGTGCTCAAGGCATTGCACTGGCTGCCGATAGCATACCGAATTCATTTTAAGGCGCTGGTTCTCACCTTTAAAGCCAGGGACCTACATACCTGAGGGGACCGCCTTTCCCCACATGTTCCCCAGAGAGCACTGTGGTCAGGGGCCCAGAACTGACTGCCCCTCCTGAGTCTTAAGGAGGCCAGGCTGCAGACAACCAGGGCGTGGGCTTTTTTGGTGGCGGCTCCATCCTGGTGGAATGAGCTCCCAGAGGAGATCGGGGCCCTGTGGGACCTCTCACAGTTCCACGGGGCCTGTAAAACAGAGCTCTTCCGCCAGGCTTTTGGAGCCGCCACCGCTATTAACAACTAGGATAAGAAGCCCTGCTGCCCCAGATAGTACATTAAACAGCCTGTACTAGCAGCCGGGAAAGACACCTGAAGACATCTATAGGAGATCTGCGAGCCGGCCACGGGAAGGGAGATAGTGGATGGTAGCCATCATGAGCTTTATTACTGGAATCTAGCACTTATTAGGGAACTATAATTGTTTTAATATTGTTTTAAATGTCTTATTATATTATTAAATGCTTTTGCTGATTTTAGGTAAGCTGCCCTGAGCTGGCCTAGGCTGGGAGGGTGGGGTACAAATCTGGACCCATAAATAACATAAAGGTAAAGGTTCCCTTGCTCGAAAGCCAGTCAAGTCCGACTCTAGGGTTGTGGTGCTCATCTCCGTTTCCAGGCCAAAGAGCCAGCGCTGTCCGAAGACATTTCCGTGGTCATGTGGCCGGCATGACTAAACACCAAGGCGCATGGAACGCTGTTTCCTTCCCACCGAAGTGGTACCTATTTATCTACTTGCCATTTCTTGCTTTCGAACTGCTAGGTTGGCAGGAGCTGGAACTAGAGACGGGAGCTCACTCCGTCATGTGGCACACCCGGGTCTCGAACTGCTGAACTACCGACCTTCCACAGCCTGCAGTTCAGCGTCTTAACCACTTGAGCCACCGCAGCTCCCAATAAATAACATAACATATCATAATATAAGAAGGGCCCGGCTAGATCAGACCAGTGGTCCATCTAGTCCAGCATCCTCTCTCTCAGAGTGGACAACCAGTTCCTCTGGAGTTCTACCAACAGGGTGTACAGGCTGAGGTCTTCCCTTAATTTTTTCCTCCCAGCAAGCAAATGCCTCTTCGAAGAGGCTGTCAGACACACCACCATTGGTGAAAAAACAAGCTCCGCTTTTGTTTGTTTCTTCTCCAGGAAGTTTGCTTCCCTACATGTCAACTTTATGATGGTTTGGGGGCTTCTGCCCACTGCCGGCCAACTGGCCAGCAGGGGAAGCCCCGCCCCCAAACAGCTACGTCGCCAGGCAACGTCCCTGACGTGATGATGCCACCAGGAAGTGATGTCATTGCATCGGAGATGCTCTGGTTTGGGGGCAAATCTCTATGACTTGAGGGCAATTGTACCATAGAGTTTTGCCCTCGAGCCAGAGCTTCGCCACGTGACATCCCTGACGTGATGTTGTCACTTCCGCCCCACTCCAGGAAAGCTCCCTCCCTCCCATCCCCCGCCAGCATGTCAATGACACCTGGCAACCCTACTTTTCTTCTACACTTTTGGGGTGAGTGCCCCTTAATTGCGCTACCATTGGCAAGGTTCCGGCTCCCTCTAAGCTGTGGAGTCCCGTGAGCAAACTGTGAGCCACTGGTATTAAAGTTGTGACCGAGCCATTTGGCTACTGCATAAACTAGTTTGCTCTGGAGCCATCCTTCCTGAGCTAAGACAAAAATCTGAGAGCCGGAGGCTAAAAAAAACTGTGAGCTTGCTCACCTTAACTCAGCTTAGAGGGAACACTGGTTCTGGGACATTCCCCCGCGCACACACTGTCTGCAGAGCAGAGCGCTTACCTTTTCCTGGTACTGCCGCCGTGAGGAATCCAAAGACTGGATGAGGGCCGTGGCGTGACCGATGAACATGGCATAGCAGGTGGCGCCGACGATCATGCTCAGCATGGTGAGCCATACGTCGGACATGCCCACCGGGGCCTGCTGCCCGTAGCCGATGCACAGCATGTGACTCATGGCCTTGAACAGAGCATAGGAATACTGCTTCCCCCAGGAGTCATTCTAAAGAGACAGACAGACAGACAGGGTTACAGGACGCAAGGCAGAAAAAAGGTCGGGGAGACTCTCTTTGGCGAAGAGAGATCCAGAGGGTAGGTGTGCTGGCCTGCAGTCGAAGAGCAAGATTTGAACCCAGTAGCAACTCAGAGGCCAACGAGATTTCGGGTTAAAGAAGAAGAAGAGATTGGGTTTATACCTCGCCCTTCACTCAAGAGTCTCAGAGCGGCTTCCTTCCCTTCCTCTCCCCACAACAGACACCCTATGAGGTAGGTGGGGCCGAGAGAGCTCTCCCGAGAACTGTACTTCAGAAAACAGCTCTGAGAGAGCTGTGACGGACCCGAGGTCACCCAGCTGGCTGCATGTGGAGGAGTGGGGAATCAAACCCGGTTCTCCCAGATTAGAGTCCGCCGTTCTTAACCACTAAACCACACTGGCTGTACACCAAACTTTACCTCTGTTCCGACTTGTATCTGACCAAGGGAGCTCTGGCTCTCCGAAACCTTTACCCCCAAAATCGTGTTGGTCTCAAAGGCGCTACTGGACTCGAATCCAGCCGTTCTCCTTGGTGAAGGTGGGTCAAAACATACCCTGACCACCAAAGAAGCCTATGGGGTCTCTCGGGGGCCGGGTGGAAGGTTGTACGCCCCATGCTCTCTACCGGAGGGCAATTTCCGGGATGATGCTTACCAGCCCAATGCTTGGTGCTTACAAGTATTTTAGTGGCGATTAGTTGAATTGGCCACCATCAATTTGTGGCATGGAACAGAACCTATGCAGACAAACCAGGCTTCTACATACAGTACAGGTAGACACAAATCCATCTTCACGGACAAATAGGTGCACACGCGCATACACATGAACACATGAAGCTGACTTACAGGGAATTAGACCCTTGGTCCATCGTAGTAAGTATCGTCTATTCACACTGGCAGTGGCTCTCCAGAGTTCCAGATCAAGGTCTTTCCCATCACCTACTACTGCCTGGTCCTTTTAACTGGAGATGCCGGGGATTGAACCTGGGGCCTTCTGCACGCCAAGCCAATGTTCCACCACTGAGCTATGGCCCCTTCCCTGACAGTCTTGAACACAGGAAGCTGCCTTATACAGAATCAGACCTTTGGTCCATCAAAGTCAGTATCGTCTATTCAGACTGACAGCGGCTCTCCAGGGCCTCAGGTAGAGGTCTTTCCCATTACATACTGCCTGGTCTTTTTCATGAGAGATGCTGGGGATTGAACCTGGGACCTTCTGCATGCCAAGCAGATGTTCTGTCCCTGAGCTAGGGCCCCTCCACCCACCCACAATCAAGCAAAGGGGAGTCATGAATCAATCTAAAACACTAACCCCTTTAATGTTCCCAAACAAGTAGATCTGGCTTTCTGGGATTTCTCCGCCAGCTCCTTTATTTGATGCTGTTTTCATTGAAATGATGCTATGAACACAGAAACACACGTGCCCGTTTGATAAAGAGGAGTCTCTAAAAATTCAGAAATAGTCATTCTGCTTAAATTTGTCCCAAACATCCCCCATGCCCCCCCCATAGCCCTGGACTGTTCTCATGACGACCAACAGCATACGTAAGTATCCTCTGCCTGCTTACTCACCCCCTCCCAAACAACAGGGACATTTAAGGTGGGTTAGTTACACTCTCGAATGTGGCAAACCACGCTTTGGTCCGCATGACGAGAGCGGCTGCTGTGTGGCCAAGGAAGTGGGCGTTCCTCGGAATGGAGCCACAGTTTTGCCCAGCGGTGCTTCCTTTCCCAGATTTATTATCCTTATATTAACTAATGATTAAATTAATCTTCCCTCCGGAAAGGGCACGCCTGATATACACATCAGCACACCGCCAAGCGCGAGACCGTGGTCGAGTTAGCGCTTCACAGCCAACAGACTATGTAGGAATACTCCGGGGAAATCAATCACTGGCTTCTTACAAGATAACACTCCTCGCTTCTGTCCATCTGTTACAACGCCCACTCCTCTAAAAACACCCTCTGAACAAGCGGAGGATGCTGACTGGGCCCAAGGCTGTACTGAATCTTCAGAATGGGAATAATGACCGCGTCGTCTGCAATGGATAGGGTTGCCACTCCAGGTCCCCCCTGTCCAGTGGAGGGGAGTGGGAGGGGAGGGTTGCCAGCTCCAAGTTGGGAAACTCCTGGAGATTTGGGGGGTGGAGCCTGGGGAGGACCGGGACCTTCGTGGGGTACGATGCCAGAGAATCCACCCTCCAAATCACCCAATTTCTACAGGGGAACTACACCAGTTTGGTGCAGTGGTCAGGAGCACGGACTCTAATCTTGGAGAACCAGGTTTGATTCCTCACGCCTCCACATGCAGCTGACGGTGTGACCTTGGGTCACTTACAAGATTTTCCAGAGCGCTTCTCTCATGAGCAGTCCTCGAAAGAGCTCTCTCAGCCCCACCTACCTCACAGGCAATGTTCCCTCTAAGCTGTGGAATCTTGTGAGCAAAAATCCTACTTTGTGAGCTACTGGCTTAAAGTCGTGAGTGAGCGATTTGGCTGCTGCGTAAATTAGTTTGGTCTGGAGCCATCCTTCCCGAGCGAAGACAAAAATGTGTGAGCGGGAGGCTAAAAAAACTGCAAGCTAGCTCACACTAACTCAGTTTAGAGGGAACACTGCTCACAGGGTGTCTGTTGTGGGGAGGGGAAGAGAAAGGAGATTGTAAAACGCTCTGAGACTCCTTCGGGTAGTGAAGGGCAGGGTATAAATCCAATATCTTCTTCTTCTTGATCTGTAGTCTGGACATGAGCTGTAATTCCAGGCGAATCCCCAGGTCCCACCCTGGAGGTTGGCATCCCCAATAAATGAATATACCATGTAGCACAAAAAGGGATGATAAGAAGCGCATATTTTAAAAGTGCAGCATAGTTTCCCCCCTACTTTATTTGTACCCTGCCTCCGAGCACCTTACCTCCTTCTTGTCTCCTCTATTCTATCCTAAAAACAACCCTGTGAGGTAGACTAGGCTGAGAGACTGGCTCAAGGTTGTCCAGTGAGCTTCCGGGGCCAACTGGGGACTCGAGCCGGCGACTTCCAGATCCTACTCAGACACTCTTAACCCCTACACTGTGCTGGATGGATTGTGTGGCGTCCTTCTTATTGGGTGGGGACTGTTTTGCCTTTAAATCATACTCTGTGACGTGCTTGCTTTTAGGGGGAACGGTTTTACCTTTAATTCACACTTTGTGTATATAAACTCGGTAGTTTCTGCTGCCACCAGGAATTAAAAATTCCAAAATCTCTCTCCTTTGGTAGTGTAACCCAGGATCTGGGCACTCGAGAGGACTATCTGGCCCTGAGGAAGTACTGTACTGAATTCTGGGATATATTTAAACGAAAATGGATTTATTGAAATAAGAACATAATTGGTTTCTGGAAAAAGGAACTCGTGAAATATAAGTAGCAACTAGCAAGCTTGGTGTCACACACAGTCTCTCTGACACCAAAATTCCACTCTGACAGGATTCTCTCTCTTTCTCATATATGCAGCTAAACCGGCTAAACTCTTCGACTTTTCCACACAGGATAAAACATTGGTCTAATCACACAGTTTAGACACAGCTTGTTTCTTTTCCTTATAGACTCTCTCACAATACTTTTAGAGTTCCACAGACTCTCTAAAGCTTTTTACACTTCACTTTCCAAAGACATACACACACTCTGAACTCTGTCATAAAACACACACACACAGAAATTCCTTTCAGAACATCTCCTCCCACACTCTCAGTCATCAGCCAATCACAGCACACACATCTCCCCCTATCGCCCTCCTTGCAGTACTGCAGTCAAACGAACATTTAAAGGAACACACACACATCAAAACAAGGAGTCATTACAGATTGTGACTGGACTTGGCCGATACTGGCACTGATATGACATGTGAAAGGGGAAACCGGATCGTGCATACTGGCTCCAGCATACCCACAGGGAAGTCCTGCTTGCCTGCGTTACCCTATCATGAGCCCAGCAGTCACAGGCCTATCAATCATATGTGCTTTAAGGAATGCTGGTGTTGTGTATTGAGCCCGAGTAATCCCTGAAATAGTACCCGGACATGGTTGAGCTTGTTTCCCCTGAATTATAGTTTACTAGGATCCTGGAGTAGACCAATAGAGTAATAGTGTTATGTAAATAGCCTATCGTTGGGAGTGGGATGTGTTTGGGGTATGGTGATTGCATGCTTAAAAACAGGGCAGCTGCCCTGGAGTTTTTGTAGTGTTCCTGAATTCACTTAATAAAGCAGAGCTGTTTCACTGCAATGCGTCCAGAACCAAGTATTTAACCGTTGCTTTTCAAATATTCCGGATCATAGGGATGGACCCTGCGTGTGCAGGTATGGGAGGCAGACAATGGCACCTTGGCCTTTGGACGGGGGCATCTCCAGCATGCTTTGCCCCATGCTCTTTCCCAGATGGACACTCGCGTGTCATGTGCAGGGTTTCCCCTACATTGTGCTAGCGCACCAATTTCCAAACCCCAGTGCACAGATTTTCGTCTCAGCACAGGGGGCCAAGGGGTGGGTTTGGAGAAGGCAGGCCCTTAACATAAGAACATAAGAGACGCCAATGTTGGATCAGGCCAAAGGCCCATCCAATCCAACACTCTGTCACACAGTGGCCAAAAATACCAGGTGCCATCAGGAGGTCCACCAGAGGGACAGTCTGTCGTGATCCAGGCTGCTTTAGCTGAGGATCACTCAGCTGATGCTGATGAAGCTCCTGTCAGCAGCTCTGAGGCTCAACCAGCTGGTGCTGTCAACGACCCTGAGACGGTGGAGGCAGGTCCTAGTGCCCTAGGTGCTGAGGACGGCGTGTGCTCCAGCCCCATGACGAACACTGGGAACATGAAAGAGGCAACCCGGAGAGGTGGCGCCTCAGCAACCCCAGATCTTGGGGAGATTTCACAGGCTGCCTCGCCTTCCCTTTCCCCGGAGCCAGGGGGACACAGGAGGAAGCGAGTGCACTTGGAGCTGCT